CCACCAGGACCCTGACAAGGACTAAGAGGGAGAACATGGAGGGATGGATTTTCAGGCTGCACCACTCTAGGAGTTGTGTGGAAGTTTTAATGTAAAGCAGGGACCTTTGATTCAGTCATATTTAGGGTTGGGAATTGATAAGATTTTCACGATTCTGATTCTCTTATCGATTCTGTGAAGCAATGAACTTGGTAATTGCTCGGTGACATTCGTCTACCTTCGCCTGGAACATTTTATCTCTGCCTGCCTCGGCGAGAACAGAAGGCAGTGAACAGGAGCTGCAGCCTCTGATCCAGCCAGGCTACCCGTCTCCTCAGTCATCTAAATCTAATGGAGAAGGCATCCGTTTAATTAAAAAGTATTACTGTACAATTTGGGGAAGTAAACTCATCTCCCCCTGACTTAAATAAAAGAGCGTCACCTGTCTCTCGCTCCCTGAACTGCGGAGCAACTTGGTAGCATGTTTAATAACCCCAAAGAGAGGCAGGAACCTGGTTTATTTCCAGAAATGGCTTCTGATTTACCAGGAACCACATTAAGCTCAGCCAGTGATAGAAAACTAGCTACTAACCACCAGAGTTTCCTTCCATGCTGGTCGTAACTTTAGCTTCTCTCAGGAAGCATAAAAAACATGGCATTCGTTCAAATGGATGCCATGTTGTGTGCGCAGGTGTTTCTGCATGTTGGAGGTATTTCCTCCTGCTGATGTTATTGCCACTTTACCCGATGGGAAGCCATTTTTTTTGTTTTGCTTTTCTAGACTTACGCCTGGTCACGTCGTACTTGCTTACTGAATGCCGTGAGCGTAACTTGCGTAGAAAACGTGCTGTAAGTAGTGCTGCCCAGAGCGGCTCTGGTTCTGCCTGGAACTGTTAAGAGAATCGTTAAGCGAGCTGCCAAATGGTGTCATGGAATCAGAACACAAGGAACCGGTTCTGAACAGGAACCGGGTTTCGATTCCCATCCCTATTCACATTGCACAACAAATTATAAATTACCAGCAAAATTATTTATCTGAGGAAACCAGCAGATTGGGTTGGAGATTTTCTTTAAATCCTTTCTGAGAATGCCTAGAGTGAAAACCACTAGAAGGAAAAGTTCCCTGGAGAATATGGACAGTCCACCATCTGAAAATCTCCCCAATTCTCAATCTGTGATGGTAATTTTTGTGCAGGACAATTTTAAATAAATATTTTTTCTATTTGAATAGAATTTGCAGAATCTGAGCCAAAGTTTTTCTGGTTCCCATATAAGATGCTATAGAGTCTGCAGAGGGGGATATGTTGGATTTGTTTAGTTTGTAATTGCTGTAAATTGTCAGGTGGAAATCTTTGTTTCTCTTTCGGCCATAATAATGATAATAAACAGGAAGAAGGAAGGTTCTAGATATTAACCATTAGTAAATTCTACTTTATTCTACTTTCACACGTAATATTTGGAAAGATCTCTTAAACCATCACCACTTCCTCTGTGTTTTTTTTTTTAGAGGACATCTATTCATCAGATGAGATCGTGGACCAACAGCCTGTTACTGTTAGAGTGATGGACACCTGCGATCAGGTATAAACCACAACTTTAAGACAAAAAAAATAGGAACCACTGCTGGGTTCAGCTCACATCCAACAGGATGCTAATACAGTGGGTCTGTTGAATTTAGAGTAAAAGTCGCTCATATTCAGAATCCAAACTTCTGAAAGTTCTTTAAATCTGAAATGATTCCATCCTGTTCAATAAATGATCAGTGTTTTTAATTCAGAGTAATTTTCATGTGAATGTGCTTTACTGGAGGCATCCATGTTTGTCAAAGAACACTACTGCCACCTACTGGTTTGTAATCACAAAGAAAATTATTATTGTTTTCATTTTAGTGTGAGGGATTGTATTTGAGTCAATGCAGTCAGCTGGTTTTCCTTAGATAGAAAACTTTGTATCAATTTGACTGGATGATCTTGTTGACTTGGAAGTTGCCTTGGATTGCCTTTTTTTTTGATTTTTGCGCTATATAAATAAACTGAATTGAATTGAATTGAATTTTTTTACTGATTAACGCTAAATTTATTAAATCACCGCAAACGTATTAGTTTTAGGTGTAAATAATGACGCATTGGTTATTTTGTGCTGACTGAACTTTCCTTTTAAAGGGTTAGAAGAGCCACAAAATCTTAAAGCTTCAAATCCTTTTCAATTCAATTTGTCTCTATAGCAACAATTCACCTCACATGTCATCTCAAGGCATTTACAAAGATAATACAATCATATCCAGTTAGATTGGTTAAGATTTTCTATCAAAGGAGAACCAGCTGACTGCATTCAGTCACTGACTTTGCAGGATTCCCTCTTTGTGAGCATTTAGAAACAATAGATGTGTGCTTTGATTCTGTCATTGACTACAGAACTCCCTTACACCCAGTAAGCATGCAGTGAGTGACACTGGAGATTCCCCTTTAACGGGAAGAAACCTCCATTAGAACTAGGCTGAGTGTGAGCAGTCATCTGCCGAGGTTGACTGGGGTAGAAGCAGAAATACACAAAAGCAACATAGAAGCACTGATCAATAAATATTTTCTATGTTAGAAAAGGTAACGGTAAACTAGCTCCACAGGTAAATCTGTCTGGAGAAAGAAACAGTTAAGTAGACGAACTCTGAGTCAGTTTTCATGTCAAAAAGCATCAAAGAGAGCACATCCAGTTAGTCACAGCAGAAGCTGAGCCTATAGCTAACGTCTAGGAGAGAAACAGGACTAAAAGCTTTTAACTACGGTTTCTGGACCACCTGAAGGTAATACATTAAAATAGTCCAGACTTGAAGCAACAAATGCATGGACTAGTTTCTCAGCATCCCCCCTGGACAGGAGATTTTGTTTTCTTTAGAAAAAAGGACATTTTAGAAACCCATCTAATATGGGATTTAAATGACAGATTCTGATAAAAATAACACAAATGTTTGTTTGTTTTTTTACTATATATAGGACAGAGTATCAACTGCATAACAGTGGAAATTAATCTCATGCTGACGGATACATTTTAGAGCATATGGATATTGAAAAAGAGAATTTGCCCTAGTACTGATCCCTGTGGTACTCCACAAGTAACCCTAGAGCTTGAACAAGATTTATCATAAACATAACCAAACTGAAATCTTTAGGACTGATAGGATTTAAACCAGTCTAGTGTGGTTCCCTTTATTCCTACAGCATGCTTAAGCCTTTCTGAAAGCATATATAATCTGCAATTGTCAGGGCTCACAACAGAGGACCCAGGATTCAAAGCAGGTAGATAAGTGTGATTCACATAATCAATCTACGTTGGATCTGTAACAGCAGCAACGGCGTCAAAGGCCGAATCTTTGGTTTTAGATTTTACTCTGTGCCAAGAAGAAGGAGTAGAATCCAGAAGATCAGGAAGCCGGGGCTGGAAGGCTGCTGAACTGGCTGACGAGCAGATCCAAACAGACGAAGGACATTAGAGTTTCCAGGAGATGAAGCCAAAGTCAGTGTCGAAGAGGTTAACAGGAGTCCAGACAAGAAGATCAGAGATCCAAAGAGGTAATCAGGAGACATCCAAGTTGCAGTCAGGAGGCATATCCAGGTATAGTTCAGAGGGCAGAAACCAGCAGGGGTCCAAAGTAATGTCATGTAAAACAGGAACAGGGAGCCTCACAGGTCCGAGGGCAGAACTGGTCAGGATCAGGCAATCAAAACAACAACAGGTACGCTAGAGAACTCTCACTGAAGGCTTGAATAATCTGCCACTGATGACTGGGAGCCAGCATCTTTAAATAGAGGCAGGAGCAGGTGGATAAGATGAAACGTGATGAGAAACTGGGCGGAGCTAGGCAGGTGAATGGAATGAACCATTAAGCCAGTCATTTGTTCCAAGATCATGGCAGAGATAATGCATAAAAATGTGAAAATCTGTCAAATTGGTTTGGATTAAAACGCCATTAAGTTTTGTTGTTGTTCGCCCTTGATGAGTTGTTCTAAATTCAAACCAGCATGTTAAGCGGGTTGAATCAATGAATTCAGTCACAATTGATTATTTGAAGTTTGAGTTTTGTATTTTAATCATCCTGCTGAACCATCTAGCAGGCCAACTTTGGCTGGATGATAAAGAATATCATCACATATGTTTATCTCCACAGGAGGGTCCAGTGAATTGTGAGCGATATCTGTTGTGGGCCAATGCCTTCCTGGTGGTCTATAGCATCAATGACATGAAAAGCTTTGAAGGCTGCCAGCTCTACCTGCAGATGCTGCTCCTACATAACAACACCTTTAGGTCCCAAACTCCAGTTATCCTGGTGGGAAACAAGCTGGACATGGACAGATACAGGCACGTATTCTCTCATATCAGCTGGTTTCTTTTATGCCAAATGTGTGACTTTATATATGTTGGATGATTCGGAAAGCCGAGAAGTTAAGCCTCATTGTTCTGAAGGTTGCAGCATTTAACAGGTAAACAACTAAGATGAACATCTTTATATTTAGTAGTTTTAGGTAGTTCAATAGCTAATGCGCAAGTTACTGATTACATAATAAGATTAAATTAGTGTAAAAATATAACTGCAATTTCCATTTTCAACTGATGAAGCAAAAGTACAGAAAAATTTCTGACAAGATGAGCCTAGAAGCTCCTCGATTAATCCCTAAATGCAAGAATTTATATTGTGCAAAATGTATCATTTAGATGATAAATTCCATTAATGTTAGCATTCCATGTGTAATTTGTGTACATTTAAGGTATGATGCTAATTAGCAACAATAGGCATCTAAGGGACAACAAATATGTTCTTTATCAGAATGTCAACTTTTTGCCAAGAGAAGACATTTCGCCTCTCATCCAAGAGGCTTCTTCAGTTCTAACTGGTAGTGGGAAGCACTGAGATTAATAATATAGGTGCTAAAAAAAGATTTAGGGGATTTGTTCCACCTACAGTATATTGATCTCAGTTGTCCCCGGCAACAGTTAGAACTGAAGAAGCCTGTTGGATGAGAGGCGAAATGTCTTCTAGAAAATTTCATGTCCAGTTGACTAAACTGAGCCTTTAATGTTTCACCAAGACCTGGATGACTGAGAATCTTCACAGATATAAGACAAGACATATAAATTAGGCCAAAACATGTTTCTAAGTATTTTTAATCATCTTAGTGGGTAAAAATGACCAAATTTTGTTAAGTTGGGTGGAGTTTTGTAGAGGGTGCAAATGCAGAGATTGAGGGAGAGATGGTGATGTGGGTGGTGGCAAAAGAAACAGCAAATCAGGGAACACAGGAACCGGAGGGTAACTCAAACCTTAGGGTCCTGTCACAACTTGCAGATTTATCCAGCGTATGATTAACGTCCCAGAACCTCCTGAAACGCTGGCATATGCTGAACTTTCTATGTATATTTTAAATTCTGGGCGTATACATAGAGGATTCATAACGAGTCCAGAACTTCTGTCCATCGGCCGCCTAACTTCTGCATAACGCACGGCAGCGTAATGCCCTGGAAATGATGCACAACCAGTGTCCTGAGGGGGGCAGCGATGTGCACGTAGGCGCCCAGCTTGTAAAAAAGATGTCTTTCATCGCGATATTAACCTTGCTGCTGTTAACCGTCCCCCCCAAAAAAAACTATAAATAAAAATAAAAAGAAATCAGGTTTCTGGTGTCAGCAGATTGAGCGTCATGTCTGCTAGGAAGTCTGTTGGTGGTGGG